CCCGACGTAGCCCTCCGCCCCGGAGCGCCTTGCCCGACGTAGCCCTCCGCCCCGGAGCGCCTTGCCCGACGTAGCCCTACGCCCCGGAGCGCCTTACCTGATGTAGTTGTACGCCTTCCTGAAATTGTGGTCCAGGATGGCGGCAGACAGACCGAAGTACTCCAGCTCCTTCCGCTTAACGCGGTCGTCATAAAAGGAGTAGTACTCCAGGGAGGAGTCCACCAGAAGCTCCGCCTCCCCGAAGCGGTTCTGCTCACACATAACACAGACACAGCGCAGCAGAAGCTGCCACCAGTCGTCCCGGGACAGAACGCTGGTCTTCCCTTCGGGTGAAGGAGAGAGAACGAATGATATGAATAGAACTTTGGGGGCGGGGGGAAAGTCAGCATCTATTATGTGCAATATAACGATGGTCTTCAGAATCAGTTAAATCAACTTCATATCAGAAATGAAAATTGAGCCCCACAATTACACAAATGTGGATCCAGAACTGCCGAGACATCTGTTGGAAAGAGTGTCAGGAATACACACTTCCAGACGTCAGACTCCCACCTATCACATCAAGGTAAGCAGCCTCCTGGTCTTCAATGTCAGAGATTTTTTCTCGAGACACTTTAACAAGGTAAAGGTGTCTCTCCCCAGAATTACACCTAGAGATCAGACAGACCTGGGCACGATTCATGGCCACCTGTTGGGGAAACATGGCCATAAAAAAAATTATTACTACAGTTGCTCAACTGATAGTGGACAATGACAAGAAATCAAAACAAGGTGCACAAGTGACTCCAATTTAGATAGTTTGGACACAAAAATCCTGATATAATGATTTATTAATGCTTTGTTTAAAAACCTTTAGTCTAACAGTTTAACAGGGGAGAGGCGTGGGCGACCTCCAGTCCATCACGTGAAGCTGGCAAGTCTACTCAAGTCATCCGTTTATACCCCCAATCATTATAAGACCGATGCCCATTTAAAGCAGGACCATCAATTAGCGAGGTAGAGGAGCTTGACCTTAAGTAGCATGGCCAGCATGGTCAGCACAGTGTCCAGGTAGTCATCCATCCGGCTTTGGGAACGCAGCAGAATGGAGCGGTGAAGTAAGAGTTTAAGTTCCTACACAGAAGAGAGAGACACTAGATGGAGAATATAACACCAGCATAAAATCTGCACACCACATACACACAAGTCATCTTGTGTACGCTGCTGTGGGGTTTACCTGCTGGGCAGCGGCAGAGTCCTGGGCTAGAGTCTCTGGGTCGTACATGGGCTGCAGAGCCTGCAGAGCTCCATCGGGGTTTCCCAACTGCTGCTGCAGGGTGGACAGGGACAGACGGGCCTCCAGGTGCAGAGGAGCCATCTCCACCACCTTGATGTAGCTATTCACGGCCACTTCCATGTGCCCCAGAGCCTTCAGGCATTCTTAATACAAGCAACGGCGACTGGTTTAGTATCCCAAAAGGCATGATAAACATCGCTAAGCTTTCATTAGACTCAATCGAATCTATGATAAAACGTTGAAAAAGAGTTTAGAAATTTTCCGATAAAGCGGCGTAACGATAATTTTTACCGTAACGTAAAACACAGTGCAGAGTGTTAATGCTGATACTACTGAGAATTACTGGGTCAGACATTAAACCCACAACCCCTTGGATGTGAGGCTATAGTCACCAAGTCTCTATGCCAGTATGATGTATATACAAAACTGAATAAGTATATTTAGGAACATACCAGCATGTCTCAACCACACCGCGGGAAGGTTGTATCTCTCGGAGCAGACGAGCGCAGAGAGCAGGGGCAGTGCAGAGCTGTATTCGCCCTCGTCCTGGAAGGCATCAGCCACATCCAGGTACAGATCCCCAAGCTCCTCTGGGCTTTGCTCCATCAGCGCAGTCAACATTGGCTGCGGCATCGCAAACAAGTCAGTGTCAGGCAGAGAGATCTGTGCCTCTTGTTGGTGTTAATGCATACTCACATGTAGAGGCTCGAATACGTGCTGCTGGATGAGACAAATCATGAGCTTCACTCTGATGTCGATTGGGACGTCCTCTGGAATCAGCACCCCCAAAATCTCCCCTGAAGCAAGTGAACATTCAAAGAGGATTAAAATATTCTGCAAAATAAGAAACACAGTACAAATCCAGACCAAGGTTTTGTTTCAACCAGCCAGTTCAGTACTCTGTGACTGTGACTCTTTATGCTCAACTGGTTGGTAGACAAAAAAATCTTGGCCTGGATTTGTACTTTCTGGACCTGAAATGCACAACAGTATTTGAAGGAGGAGACCGTTGGTATCAACAAGTATGTATCTTATAAATCGGGATTGAGTGTAGTTATATCAAACTGGGACAAAGATTGCAGAGACCACCCCCTCCCCGAGCACCCAAGACCTCTCCCATTCTAACCCTTTTGATGTTTATTTAAAAAAAAAAAAAAAAAAAAAAACATGTAAGCATCTAAAGCTCTGTTTGCTGCTCCGAACATCTCACCCTCTTCCTTGTCTGCCTGTTTGCCGTCACTCTGTTGGCCCTTGCCTTTCTCCTCTTTGGAATCTCTCTCCAGCACAATCCCACAGAACTGCTGCATTACCTGTCAACACCTACTGTTAGTCAACTGAGAAACTTAAACTCATTATTCTAACTGCTTTCTTAAATATCCCTACAAACAAAAACCAGTTATTGCTGCATTTAACACCATGACATGACTGTATGTAGTGCGCTAGACATGTGGTTCTCAGACTCTGTGGGGCCGCATGCCACCTAAAAGATTAGGCTTTCCACCCACAACCATTATTATGGGGGCAGTCAGTGGCTCAGAGGTCACAGGTTTAAGCCCTGGCCTCAGCATAAGTCTCATGCGCTGCACTGTGACCCCAAGCTATGGAGAGCAAGATGGGGTAGGCGAACCTATACTTGTAGTCATAAAAGATGTATCATCATTATTATGACTGGCATTTAAGTAGATACCTCCATGTACCACTAGAGGGCTCACACGCTACAATAATCTGTGAACTACTGTGCTACAGCGAACTGCCACCAAGTGCAGGGGCAGGTGAAGACGGGGGATATAAGGTGGCACCTACTCTCCTCGCCCCCCCCCCCGAAATGTCCATGCAAATAAGTTCAATGTACAACTGTATTCTAAGGTAGTTGTTTTCAACACTGTATTTATGACACAATTTTCAGATTTCCAGTGTTCCCACCCCCCCCCCCGGGCTGATTCTTTGTCCCCCCTGTGCCCCCCTATTAAAAAAAATCCTAGAAACGCCCCTGGACAAGTGCTCCTTGGTAGTACAACAGAATTGTATAATAGTCAGAATTACATACCTGCAAAGCCTTCTCATGTTGCCTATTGGTAATATATAGTTCTGCAGCCATATTAACACATTCATTGGTGGCCAGGTGCGGATACCGATTCAGGGCTTCCTCCATAACACCCATTGATGACTGTAGGTCGTTGGTCTCATAGTAGCTCCTACAGCAAGTAGGACGCATAACGTCAGATATCTAAAATGCCATTCTGATGAACAAACAACGTCGGGGATATCTAAAATGCCATTGTGATGGACACATAACGTTGGGGATATCTAAAATGCCATTGTGATGGACACATAACGTCTGGGATATCTAAAGTACCATTGTGATGGACACATAACGTCTGGGATATCTAAAGTGCCATTGTGATGGCCACACAACGTCTGGGATATCTAAAGTGCCATTGTGATGGACACACAACGTCAAGGATATCTAAAGTGCCATTGTGATGGACACACAACGTCTGGGATATCTAAAGTACCATTGTGATGGACACATAACGTCTGGGATATCTAAAGTGCCATTGTGATGGACACACAACGTCAAGGATATCTAAAGTGCCATTGTGATGGACACACAATGTCAAGGATATCTAAAGTGCCATTGTGATGGACACATAACATAATATATGTATAAAGCACAAAGTGGCTAAGAAATAGCGCACTAACTTGGCCATGTCCCGGGAGAGCTGCATGAAGTTTTCTCCGTCGGTTGGGGGCAGCAGGTTGAGTATGCGGCGATAACCATCCATAGCTTGCTTGTGATCTCCCACTTGCTCGTAAAGACTGGAGCGCTCCCACAGATAACGCACATTACTGGGGTTATACTTGATGGCTGGGGAGGGGTACGGAAGCAACAACCAATAAAGTATCATTCTAATTACCTAACTGTTGGTCTACTATATCTACTACTATACACTAAGCACTACTATATCTATCTAGTAGTGCTTCAATTCCTAAACCTCTTAGTCATACCTTTGGAGTAGCAGATGATGGCCTGTTTTATATTGTCCTGCTCCAAGGACATGTCTGCCAGCTTCACCCACTCCTCATAATCACTGGGGTTTAAGTGGGCAGCAATCAGGCCAAACTGCAGAGCCTTCTCCATATCCCCCTGGTCCTCATAGATCATAGCCAGGGTCGAGAAAGGCTCATAAGCCAGAGGAGCTGTTGGACACACAGATGAAATGGAGACCATTAAAATCACTGTAAATAAAGTATGTAAAATTCAACAATTTCATTACAGTATCTGGAACATTTATACAGACAAGTTGAAGCAATACCTAATTACTAGTGGTGGAGTAAGACAAAAAACTTTATTGATCCCAAGGGGAAGTTAATGTTAATAATTATTGATAATAAATCACTGTCACATAGGCTAAATTCACACTCACCCTGTCTAATAATCTCCATGCACATCGTAATAGCATCTTCCTTTTCCCCCCTGGCATAGCGAATATTGGCTTCTCCCATCAGTCCGCGCAGGGCTCGCGGCAGTTTGCTCCGCTGTCGCCGTTCCTGGATGCGACAGGATGCACGCAAAAGTCAAACCGAACTTCCACAAAACCCATATACATGCATATGTCATACTTGTCGTCTAAAACACAAAGAGCAGAGTTTAGCAGCTAGACAGTTTTTGTGCCATCCTCACCCTCATCATCTTCTTGTTCTCACGGTTCAGTTCCATTTCCAGGGCAAACACATCCCCGGCAGATAGTGACTCATTTTGCTCCACTTCCTTGCCATCCGCTTCCCCCTCTTCAGCCACTTCTCCCAGCATGGAGGCAAACGCCTTCTGAACAGGGAGGCTCACTCCATCATCCGATTCCTCTAACACTAAAAGAGGGCCAGTTAGTGTTTACAACGGGATCACATCGTACGACCATTCTGGGGCCCAAGTACAAGGATAATTACCTGTTTTCTTCTTTTTTCGGCGTCTGCAGGGGCTACGCGAAGTACTGGGGCCAGCACAGTCGAAATGGGAGGCTTCGTCCTCCTCCGATTCCCCATCACCGGCTTCCTGAGAGCTTACTAAATCCTACCCATGAACAAAATGCATTCTGTACAATACTGCTTTAACAACAATTTGTTTCTATTTTACAAATCATGAGCATCGATAGACAAAGGACGCCTGTTAATGGAAATTAAACACCAAAGTAATGTCATGAACGTAACATCACGAAGTATTCCTCCAGCTTTGTTGTGTAGACATAGCATTCCGACTTTATTGAAATGATTTCATTTATTTCATTCGCCCAGCTTTGCTGTTTACACATCGATCGCCGACTTTAAATGAAATTATTTCATTTCATCATTTCATTCGTCCAGCTTCGACTGCCGACTTTACCTTATCTTTGGCCTTTCTCTCTTCTCTTAGTATTTCAAACTCCTCAAACGAAATCTTTCCCTCTAAGTAGTCAATGAGCTCCGAACTAAAACTAGACATTTTTAATAAAGCTCAGCAATAATACGATGCAATCAGTAAACAAAAGTTGCCAAAAACGTTTTAGCAACCTAACTTGCCAACCGTCACGCTAGAGTCCCCACATTTATCATTAATGTTACGAAATCTTACATCGTCCAACCAACATTTATAAGAAACTTATGTCACTAGCTTAAATTAAACATTTAAAATAACACACACTTAAAACTGTCCGAGAGTGCTAATTTAAAGAGTGCCGCCATGTTTGCCTTTTTAACTTCCTGTTTACTACTTCCGGTCTCGTGGTTCCCTTCTTTCAGTGTGTCCCAGCCCAGTCCACGGGGAGCGTCGTACAGTTCAAGTTTTTGCTCTCTCCCGGCTTCCAACGTACCAGTACCCGGCATTTGGCATTCCTGATTGGCTGGATGGGTAACAAAAATGTGGACCGTCTGAGGGTCTCCGAAGACTGGGTTAGGAAACACTGCACTTTAAATGAGGAATGAAAATCAAAAGCAGGCGTATACCCTGAACAAGATTCCCGTCGATCACAAAGAATATACACACGCAAATTGGAACACACATAATCAAACGCTTTATACAGTTTAGAGATGTCAAATTAATCTAATGCCTTTTTAAGCAGAGAGCACATTCCACAGCCTAGAGTCCCTGAAAAGGTAGAGCTGACCCACCATGCATCACAGGGAGAGCTCATCACAGCCTTACACAACCTTATTATCATAGGAGTGATAATGTTACATTGTGAGACTGATTAATTAAAAATGAGGTGTTTATTTCACATACCCACCCAAAAAAAGACTGCACCTGTCACACTAGCCCCACTCATTATAGCATGTAGATTGCCTTTGCAATCGTACAAATCAGTTAATCCAAACTAAAAGACAACAGGATTAGTTTCGCGTCTTCATGAAGGATATCTGTACAAAGATGGACATTGATTTTAAATTTAGCAGCTGAAAACTATTCCTAACAGCAACTGAAATGTGCAATAAAAGCAACTGTTTCAACTGTCTTGTGTTGTTGTCTAATCACTCATGACACAGAGAGATCCTGCTAATATTAAATACACAGGAAACATTTTCATGTTAGTTTTATTTTCAGGACATTATAAACACTTAGCAAGTCTGAGATTTCTTTTATCTTAGTTTACACCCTTGATAAGCCTACATGTAAACAAATCTAACAGGAGCGAATGCATGTTTAAAGTATGCCCTAGCGCTGCTTTAAACAAGTACTACATTTTAGAGGCTCGTTTGTGAGCTCTGAGAAATGTTAAACCGTATCCTCAGTAACTGGTGTAATGCTCTCTGTGCAGCATTCAGACTGAGACGTGATTCCTCAGTAACTGGTGTAAAGCTCTCTGTGCAGCATTCAGACTGAGACCTGATTGGCCTCATTCACTACAGATTTCAAGACACTCAGGTCACTGAGGGGGGACGACAGGCCAACGCAACACCACTGGTCCCCGTCACAGGCAGCAGAAGCGGTGAAAGACTCTATTCCCACACCAGCAGCTGCCAGCACACCTAGGAGAGAAGGCATTTTGGGAAAAAAGAAATCACATGCTTGCAAGATCTTTATGGACAAGGCAATGTAGACTCTAGCATATTCAAAATCAGGGCTCTAAGTGGTACAGTTAACTAGAGTTCTAACAAGGGACGGATTTAGTTTGTACAGCTTTTGCTTAATCTAAATGAGGGCTGAAAGACAAAAAAGTGGGAACTGAAAAATGCAAAAAATGGTCCGTATTTAGGACAAAATTAAAAACCAGAGACATGCCGTATTGTGTAGAGCCACCTCAGTGTAAACCCCCCTTAGTTTGCCTCTCCCCTGAACAAAAGAGGCCAGGAAAAGAATGGCCCAATTGTCCCTTGTACCGTGCAGCACGGTCATTTGAGGTCATTTGTGAAGGCGCGGGAAGTTAAGAAGGGGGCGCTCTCTCACCAGCGATCTCAGACAGAAGCAGAGGGGCGGAAGCAGCTTTGAGAAACAGCAGATTCCCAGAAAGAGGAACGGGCTGCCAAAACCGACTCCCGGCCAGTTCCACCAGAACTGGGATTTCACCCTGGACCGAACCAGTGGCCTTGAAGCTGGTGCCACTGATGGACAAATCTATTACACATGCTGTCTGTCTCACGGCTGGGGCACCATCACTGTGGTTTTTTTTGACCTGGAAGTAAATGTCAAAAGTGTGTCATGACCAACTGTGTTCATTGGATACTTTCTATTTATTGGATAATATATACAACTTGCAAAGATAGAATCTTCTATTATGGTATTTCTAACATATGTACACATTATATACTTATTTGTTTATTGTTTTACACCTGTAATGCTTTACCTAATGGCTGTTTCAGAATTAAACTTGTTGCCATCTGGTGATGGTTCAAGGTGAAAAACATCTCTGAAAAGAAACAACTTACCTTAATTCCCACCTCCTCTGCAATGGTTAATGCATTGATGAGGTTGGGGCCATTCTTCGAACTGTCCTTTAATAAGCCCATCAATGTGGCTGAACTTAGTAGGTCTGAGAAACGTTTCAGTGATTCCCCTGATTGAAAGGCAAATTGTATTGTTTAAATATGCATACTACTTTAGATGTGGTTAATTATCTAAGATATTTAGATGAAATTCTAAATATAATTTTTATTATGCCCATTCTAGTGGTAGTTTCTATGTTAGAGTGCCATAACGGTATTTACAGATAAAGATTTATTGATTTTGCAAAAATTACGTAATGGCTAATTCTAACCACTGGGAGGAGATAATTCACACAAGCAAATACAACAGAAGTGCTCAAAGAAGTGATTTTGGCTAATTTTTGGCTGGCCGGAAATGATTTTACTACTATGAACATGGTCTTAACTGCATATGAAAGAAAAGAAAAGAGGTTGAGTTAAAAAAAAAATAGATCTTTGGGGGTGCTGTGTGTGACCCTCTGAGTTCAGATCCCATGGCCGGCAGAGTGATTTCACAGCTGGGCACTTGAACAAGGCCCTTAACCCCAACTACTACAAAGACTGTCTCACCCTGCTTTGTCAAGTGCACACTGATGTCGGTAAAAACGCCTTCTAGATAAATGTTAAATAACTAAAGTAAAAATATTTCACCTATGGTTGTTATTTCAACTTGAGTGAAAGGCAGGTTTGATGGACTGCGGGATCTCAGGACTGCCCCTAGAGCCTCTCCCAGTCTGATCCAGAGGTGGGACTCTGGAAAGAATGAGCTGGCCAGTGCCTGGCCATTCACCTGTGTGCAGAAATACATCGTTTGTCCATTTGAAACATAAGAGAACCAAGTGTAACAATTTACTTGAAGTACAATCATTTTTACTACAATAAAATATAACAACAGCAACAAGAACGCTAATAATAGTTGCTGTTATGATTATTATCACTGAATGTACAGGAGGCTGCACAGCGAAGGAAGCCGACAGGAGACTGTGAGAATGAACGGCCGTGATCGTACCGCTCCAGTCAAGGCCTTGCCTTTCAGCAGGTCCACAATCTGCGTGCCGATGTCCTGGCCACAGCGAGCCTGTGCCTCTCCGGTGCTGGCACCCAGGTGGGGGCAGCTGATCACGTGACAGTGTTCCACCAAGGCGCGATTCGTCGGTGGCTCCTGTGAAAATGGGGAGGGGGGGGGGGGGGGGGCTTTGTCAATGAGGGCAACAATGAACACAGTGGTGCCTGTGTTTCTGTTTTGGCATAATCACTTCAACACATTTCTGAATCTCACCTAAAAAAGTTTCTTTTCTTTTTTTTAAAGCACTCACAATATCTCTGTTTACCCCCCGAGTTTAAGTAAAGATAGAGCCCAGTTCCGGCTCGTTTTACCCAAATCACACCTTCCCAGAATGCAGTGCTGCCTCCTTCAACATCAACCTTTTTTCTTCTTGGTACCTGACATGATTTTGACTTACCCCCTGTTCACCCCCACAAAACAAGCAAGCTAACAAATAATATGTTCCTCCGGTTCAAAAAGAACATTCCACAATGAAAACGGAAGCCTAAAAATTCTGAGCAAAAAAAACAAAACGATGCAACACTGGGACTTTGTGCAGTGTATGCAGTGTATCCAGTGTATGCTCACCTCTTCAAACACATCGAGCCCGGCCCCTCCGCACTGGCCGGACTCCAGAGCCCGCAGAAGGGCAGCTTCATCGATGATGCCCCCACGCGCACAGTTCACCACCTTTACTCCCTTCTTACATTTAGCGAAGGAAGCATCATTCAGCAGCCCTAAAAAGCAAAAAGAAAGAAATTACCTCTAATTCCGTCACCAAAAACGCAGGGTTGGCAAGTTTGGTCAGCTGGCTGGGGTGAGATTTTCAATTTGAGACACGTCTGCACACACATGCACACATATTTACATGTATGTAACAGTTTTACCTTGCAAATAGTCTGTAAGGTTTGCAAACTACCCCAAGGCTTTTGATGTAGCTAATTTTAGGTTTATAATGTAACAATATAGATCTGCCTTAAGATTTCTTGCGTGAGTGTGAGACTCTGAAAGCGTGAGATTTGGCAACCCTGAAGACAGGTGTCACAGCAAATAAATTTAGGACAGTAGTTCAGTTTTCCCTAATGCTGTAAATTTTTAATTTGCCTCAAGATCTACCTTCCTTCTGAACGCCAAACTCCAAAGTATGGGTTGGGGTGGGGGGGATGCAGTAATGAATTTTTTTTAGAAAACTACCTATAAATTCAATTCAAGCCAACAAAACTTAATTAATAAAAGCCTGAGTTATATCCATTTTCTTTAAAACAAAAAAGAGTTCTATCGGAGAGTTTCAACAGCAAACAAACTGGCCATGTCACTTCCTGCCATCCCCACCCCCCCTTAAAATGTGTTCTGCAGCCCATACTCCAAAGTCACACTACGCCAGGTGAGCGTTACCTGTGGTGGAGGGCATGAGGGGGGTGTGCACAGTGATGTAATCACACAGAGGCCACATCTGCTCCAGCGACATCTGCTCCACACCCCAAGTGGCAGAGACCTCAGGTGGGGTGATTGGGTCGTAGCCAATAGTCTGTCAGCCCAAACAAACCCGCCAAATTACCTCGTTTACAGCGAATAAGAACAACCTCACATAAAAAGGCTGTAGCTCTCTGGGGATTAAGTGAATTCAGCCTGACCTTCATGCCAAAGGACTGCATTCTGGCTGCCACCTCCTTTCCTATTCTTCCCAGTCCAACTATTCCAAGAACTTTCCCATATAGCTCTGAACCCATGAACTGAAAGGTTATTAGAAACATCAGGTAAGAACATAAGCATCGTGTCAGACACCTACAATCACAACGTTCAGGCTATTAGTTACGACTGACCGACCGCCGGAATAATATATTCACAAGAGGTACAACGTATGCAGTCATACTGGAAACGAACCGAAAACGTTTACCTTCTTACGATCCCAGTTCCCTGCTTTCATGGACATAACGGCTTGTGGTACATGTCTATGGATTCAGAAATAACCTTCTTACCATTTACATTCGCAAAATTTCACATACAGCAGAAGACACAGAGGGAAATGCCAAATATTTATCGGCAAGGTTTGGTCACTGCTGGTGTCTTACCTAGAGAGACTCATTATCATCGCGCAAGTTAGTTCAGCGGCACTGATCGTGTTGCCACTGGGGGTGCTATGCAAAAGAAGAGAAAAAAGTACTTGGCAATGCGAACAGTAGCCACGATACTATTTTAATATTCAGATACAGATCTGCAACGCAGCGGTCCGGTTTTAGAATTATGTAATTAAGCATGTGCCGTCGAGGGATCTATACTCGCGCTTTAATAAACATGCACACATGTCATTTTCTTTTCTTCTTCGGGACATCATCTTACTTCATGACAATAACGCCTTTCTTAGTGGCCGCATCCACATTTACGTTGTCCACGCCGGTCCCAGCTCTGCCGATAATTTTAAGGTTATCAGCAGCATTGATGATTTCAGCGGTAACTTTAGTAGCAGATCGAACAATCAGTCCGTCGTAATCCTGTTGCAGAAAAGTAACAAGATTTGAATGACAATATGCACTTGTTAAATCACAATCGGGACCGTCGACTTCATCTAGAAACGAACGTGAAAACGAATCGCGTAGTTGACTTCGGCTAACTTTCCGTAGCCCTATATTTGCGTGAACAACACTAAAAACGAAGCATGGCTTTTCTCTGGTATAATTGAATGCAACGCGGTTAAAATTAAATCTTGCCTGAGTACCGGCTAGCATAAGTCTCGTGATCATTAATATATTGCAAGATGGCATAAATAAATAAATTCTATAAGTAAATTTAAAGTAATTGTTTATAAAAAGAAATTTCTAACTATGTTAAAGACTAAGATAATTGGCAAAGAAAAACAAATGAGGTGGCATGAAATGTTGCATCAGACTTCTGAGGTGAAGGCGGCGCTGAACAGATGTCATGCAAAGGTGGTTGTTGACCAGTTAGCTACGATTTAAAATTAAGTTTGAAAAATCGCCTACAAAAACTTTCTCTAACTTCCGATCAATATGACAATCGCTTCTCCTGATGGAGATACTGACAAGATTATTCTATACCATACTGTATCCGTCCTATCCATAGTGTAATTTCTTATCTTAAAATGGCACATTACCTTTATTTCAGCAATCAGCTCATCCTTGGTCATGTTCAGCTTCTCGGTAACCTGGATACCATTTTCTTGGAGTATCCTTTTACAACCCTGGTCGACACTCTCACTGATCAAAATGCGTTTGATGGATACAGGGGCCATTTTTTGCAGTTTTCAACAGGCTTTCCGATCAATGAATCAGAGAAAATAGTTTGCTGTCCTATCTGGTTTTCGGCTCGATTTCTGCAGGGGAGCACATCGCTTACACTCCGCCTCCGGGGACTTTGAGGCCTCCCCCACCAATCTGTTCATTCGTGTGAGAGTGGGAGAGGCCTAAACGCAACCTGCCAAACCAGATATCCAGCGATTCCCGAATAAATAATTTGTTGCGTTTAATGATGCAGTCAGCGCATTTCGAATTTAAGAGCTATGAAAAAAGTCACATATTACACCGATACAACAGTACCATGCACCGTACATTTGTCTTGCATTTTAATTAGCAGATTTTTTTTTCTTTTTCACTTTTCTTTATAACTCATATGAAGACCGGTGTAAATGAAAAGATGCATTTTCTAGAGAATAACATAAAATTTTACACACAATTTAACTTAGTATACACACCTGACTTGGATTTTAGCAGTTGCACAAGCCAAAGACATCTCTTTTTGTTTAATACAGATGAGAGAATATGTAAAATGATATATTTTATTAACTATAGGTGTTGTGGATATAAAAATTAATTTGTTAATTTACTCTGGCAATGGCCATTATACGACCTGATCCACTTTTATTGGCGACAACTATTTCAGTGAGTTACTTATAACTAAGACCGTACTGTAAGTCATGACTTAGCGTGTATACTTTTAGAGTCTGTACACGTGACTCCTGGGATTCATTGCTTCACTTTTCCATCACTATTTTGAGCCACAAAAGCACCTTGTATGATGAAGTACTGGATTCCATATACCCTGCAAATAATTCTCCTTTTTCCAAAAGACAGACATAACAACACATTTCTTTCACTTTAAGATTATGGTATATACATGGGCTTGTTCTGTAGCCTTAATGCCTTCTTAGAAGTATTGTAAACGGGATTTGGTGATCAGGTTATTAAAATATCTGCACAATTTACACACTTGTTTCAACATACAAAAATGCAGAATACAATATATCACATATATGGACATTCCTTTTGAATTGAATACAATAACAATAGGCAGTCTCACGGATAGATGGCATGGATAAATTGTACTGTCCATTATATTCTGATTATACAATTGACAGTTCTTCATGAATTTATGCAGTTTCCTTCACAAAACTATTGGTAACACTTTACTTGACGGGGTACAAATAATATAGTATTATGCTATTACTTATGTATCAATTAATCACAAACTTATACTTCCATAGTGATCTTATATTAATTCATCATTAATGAATCGTTACACATGTTTTATCTCAAGCAGTTACTATATTTGTTACTATATGTTAATTCTGTAAACCTTTGAGAACTACTGAAAGAACTACTGAATGGAACAGGTCTTGTATAACACAAGTGAAATACTGATTCATATTTGCTCATCATTAATGATTCATGATGCATGTTTCATCCCAAGTAGTATATATGTTTGTTACTATATCTGTTAATTCTGTAAACCTTTGTGAAGTACCGAAGGAACTACTGGAGGAACCAGTAATGAATAACACAAGTGAAATACTGATCATGTTTGCTCATCTGAATCTTTAGGCATCTTTTATTTCAAGTAACGACTGCATTTGTTCATAATTTGTACTTCAGCAGTAACTGAGTTATTACTAAGTATTTGTGCCCCGTCAAGTATAGTGCTTGAATCCAACAAACCTCATAGTTCAAAAAGTCAAGATTCTAGATATTTTACTAGCCATGTGCAACAAGTGTATTAAAATGCTGGTTCATTTAGTCACACCCAGTCTACATTTAGAATACATTACTCAATTAGTGCAGTTATTTCATTCATAATTTCAAAGCCGTCGGACCACACCACTATTCGAGGCTTCAGTAACTCCGATTCGGACTTCGTCAGCAGCCTCTCCAAAGCATACCCTTTGCGTGGCAGCACCAAATCGCTCGGCTTTAAGCTCTTTACGGGACAAAGGTCATTTCCACCATCGCCAATATAGCAGATCAAATGGTACTCAACGCCGTGCTGCGACTGACTTTTTAGGAATTCGTCCAGCACTTCATTCTTGCACAGGTTGACTGGGCATTGCCGGCATTCGTGGGAATGGTAACACTCCACTATCATGTAACCCCGTTCGTCAAACCTGGCAGGATTAGTGAACACGCGATCAACAGCCGCTTGTACGCCGGCGGCTTGTAAAATCCAGTCGATGAACAGGGTGTTGGAATCAGAAATTATTATGCAGTCTATGCAGTTTTTGTTACTCGCGATGAACTTCAGTAGGTCAATCATTCCGTCTGTGAAGGGCAGTGTTTCCATGACACTTCGTACTGTGTCCCGACTGACTGCATTATCTCCTAAGTAGGTGAGCACACGTCCCATATATTCAGTCCATCGTCCTTTTTGGTACGAGTTCTTCAGCCAGTCTGGGATACACTGGTCGGGGGCACATTTGATCACCCAAGTGTCACTATTGCCATCCACCAACGTGTGATCGAAATCGAAAACGACTAAAGTCTTCATTCTGCTGCCTGTGAAAGAGAAAATAAAAATATTTGCTTACATTTAAGATAATGCCTAACCGGCTTCCAGCACCAATGATATTTTAAGGATTACTAGTCAAATATCATCCAGACGGGCTTAAGACACGCACGCCCCAACGTGTATATCTACTTACTATTTGGTTTATTTGTTTTTAATACAAAAAATCAGCTTTATTAGCATTTGAATACCCAAAAACTCCCTTACCTTTCGTTTCACTCTTGTCTACGCTCCACCCCGATCTTGCAGAAATAACTGTTTTCGTTTATCTGCATTTTGATTGGTTCGTCAGTATGTCAACATCGCGAGACTATATAACCCGAAATGTTTGCTGTTGCCTGGAAACCGTTTGCTTGCTACAACGTGTCTTTCATACAGAATGTTCTTGGTGGGACATCGACGTTTTGTTGTCAGCTAATTTGTATGCTACACATATATGCGTTTAAATCGATTAATGGATCCCTAGGAGAAAACTATATTACGTTAACGTACATTTGATCAAGATGGTACTATCGTCAGCTTCGGTTGTCCAATACGGGAGAAGAAAAGGTTCCGCGAAAAACACTTCTAGTAAGTTTGTAGAAGCTGTATGTGCTGTAAACCCTGGTATTTATTTAATCTGTTTTCATGTTTGCCATCATTTTTGCAATTTTTTTTATTTGTTACGTACGTGTACTTCAGTAAATGTTAAGGACGAGAAAATGCCTCCAGTTCAAGCTCCGGATCTCCGGCAAGTGACAGTGGTACCAAAGGCCGAGTGGCTCCGAATTCAAGACGGCCTGAACCATGTCGACAAGCAGAACGAGAGCCTCAAGGAAGCGTCCAAGCAGCGGGAAATTCTGCACCTACGCTCACAAGAAGTGGTTAAATTCTGGCCCAATACCATTGCTGTACGCATGCTACAAATGCAAACGATTATTAGCATAATCAATTGATTAATCAATAGATTAGTTCGTTCTGTGGTAAATCAATTCATTTTGACTAAAGTGAGCCTGAAATGAAAACCAATATCCAGCTCTTAAACTAGTTGTGTCTTGTACAAGGAAGTAAGAACACATCAGAATAGTGCAAAATAAGGATGCTACTAATTATAAAAGTAGCCGAAGTGCTAGAAAACACACGTACAGGCCTAGGTCTATATCAGTGTCTGTGCATGTATTTCCATACAGGGGAAACGGCAAAAAGACTTAGAAGCCAAAAAACTTCAGAAGGAGATGGAAGAAAAGGAAAGAGAACAAATTGATTTAGAGGAAGCCAAGTACCAACAGGAGAAGCGAAAGGAAGCCATTGAAAAATCCAGAATGCAACAATACTACCAGACGGACAGCGTGAAGGGGCTTCATGTTTGTACACATTCTCCCCTTCTGTGCTTTATTTTATATTTTATTTATTTATTTCCATGTTGAATGTGCTATTCATCAGAATGCAAATGTTTAGTATGTTTTAATAGCAAAAAACAAATATCCATTTTTTTTTCCCAATTGGAACCTTGTGCTATTTTATATGGTTCTATTTGCATGCTGGTTGCATTTTCTCTGTTACTCCAGTGCGCACTGCTGTTGTCAGAAGTCCTAAAGGAGCGGGAGGCTCAACTGGAGCTGAAACTGCATCAACTGGACACCCGGCGTAATGCGGACAGAGACACTGCTGCCCAGCTCCAGAGCCAGGACCAGGAGGCACTGGAGCGCGATCAGCGTGACGCAAAGCAGAAGAGGCAAAAAAACAAGCTTATAGCAGAGGGGCTAAAGCAACAGTAAGCCTGATCTTCACCTCCTTATTACCAGGGTGACCAGATAATCCATGTCAGAGAGGATATTTGGACATGCTTCAGGTTTTACAAATTACTTTAAAACTAAAAAGTTCCTGTGCATGGCAAACTACTTCAGGGTTACATTCAGCCCTGAGGAAACGCTGAAAGACATTTATTTAAATGGAAGCAGTGGTGCGTTGCACCTATATAATATAGGATCTATTGTGGGCACGGCTTTTTTAATTTGGTGGGAATTATATAGACGTCGCAGCTGATTGGGTAACCGCTCTGACACACCCACCAAGCTAAAAGAAAAAGTCCCACAAACTTTGCTGCACAACATTTCACACTCTTTCAAAGAAACATGTCATTCAACCTGGAAACTGCAACAAAATGTTGCACAGCATTTTCAGATTAAACGTGCCCCATTTCTTCTTGCACTTTGACTGGTTTGTTTACTTGATCGAAAGACTCATCCTGCTGTTCCACATTAGCATTAGTGACGCATGCATGATTACAGGAGACTGGCCAATCAGCACATAACAAGAGCTCCGTCAAATCCATGTCCTTTTAATTGAAATGGTAGTTTACAAATCCTACCATTATTGCTGCAAAATTATATTGTATTAGGGTGCATGTAATTACGGTATTGTATGAGGTATGAACTATGAAGGATAGATTACTGCCATTTTTGAAAAATGCAGGATAACGGAGCATGAGCTCATTAAAGAGCAGGAGATGCTGGAGAGAACAAGAGAAAAGGAGGAACTGCAGCGGCTGCAGGACCTCTACAGCTTGGAGAGGAGCAGACAGGAGCAGAGGCAGCGGGAAGAGAAGAAAAACACCATGAAAACTCACATGGTGAGAGTGTGTGCAGTGCGCAGTGAAGCAGGGCTAGTTTGAAGAAGGCTGTGTTCAGCCAGATAACATCATCATTTTGTTAAATGTTACCACGGTGGCTCAGTGGGCAACACTGTAACCTCATACCTCAAGGGTTGGTGGTTTGAATCCCACCCTCTCTTTGTGTGTGTAGAGTTTGCAGGTTCTCCCCATATCATGTAGGTGTCCTCTGGGTCACTCCTCTCACAGTTCAAATCACGATGTTAAGGCAGTGGTTCTCCATCTGGTTCCTGGCACCCCCCTGCCAGACTGTTTTCATTCCAACCCTACCTTATTCAGGTTTATATGGTCCTTAACAGGCTAATAATGAATGTGGTAGGTTGAAAGCAGTGTGGGTTAGAATGAAAACATTCTGGCAGGGGGGGGGGCGCCAGGAACAGGATTGAGAACCACTGGGCTAGGGTAACTGGCTTCTTTTAGTTGCCCGTAGTGTGTTACTGTGTGGGCCCTGTGACAGACTGGCATACTGTACAGGGTGTACCTCTGCTGTGTGTCCTGTATTTCATGGAGGATGGATGAACAAAAGCATTGTTACATTTTTAGGAGCATTTGGCTAAACAGGACGTTATCGGGGCTATAAACAAACAAAAGGAGGAGATGGAAGAGGAACGTAGGAGACTTTTTGCCAGTGCTAAAGAGAAAATGATGAAACTGAGAAATGAGAAAGAGGCTGAGATGTTCAGGCAAGTACACTGAATCTGGTGCAGAATTTATGACAGAAAATCCAGCTTTTACATATTTGGAATAACTGGTACAACCAGCCTGTTTTCCGCTCAAATAAAAAGGCATTAGTCTTTTGGCAAATGGCACTGCGCAGCTGTGTAATAATACGGGTATTTGCAGAGAATATTGGGGTTGTTTCCACAGTTTGGTTATGACATATCTGTCCTCATATAAGGGAAGTCCAGTCGTACAAGGAGAAAATATTAGAGAAGCTGGCAGCGAGGAAGCAGGAGCAGGTGATCGATGAAGAGGAGCGCATCACCAAGGCTGTGGACCAGAAGGAAGCCAGGCTGGCCAAGGAGCAAAAAGAGAGAGATGAAAAGAAGGCAGCCATGCTGGATGCCATTACCTCACACAGAGAAGCCATGGTACCTCCAGCATCAGACTAATTATCTAAGGCAGTGCCTCCCAATCCGGTCCTCGGGGACCCACAGACAGTCCATGTTTTTGCTCCCTCCCAGCTCCCAGCAAAAACGTGGACTGTCTGCAGGGTCCAGATGACCAGATCGGGAAACACTGATCTAAGAATACTTTTTTCCCTCAGATTCCTAATGATTCAGAGGTGGATAGTTCAGGTCCAGAAAGTAAAAATCCAGACCAAGATTTTGTTTCAACAAACCAGTTGAGTGCTCTGTGACTCTTTATACTCAACTGGTTGGTTGTAAGAAATACTTAAAGATAAAAGAATTTAGGAAAATGAAGATAACTTTGCTTTCTGCTGAAATTGAATAGCTGAGGAAAACATGAGTTTACCACAGTGCATGTACAACCAGTGACCTGCAGATGGGTGAATATCCAAATTGTAGCATACATTTGTGGAGATTAAATAATAATGGTTTACAATGTAATGATTACACATTGTAATTATACTTCTCAAGATTAGATTACTCCTCACATGTAATTAAGTATGGCTATCATTGTTTTTCACGTCATCCTTTCAACCATAGTGAGACAATAAAGTTAAAATACTAATTAACAGGATATTGGTACAGATATTCAGAAGTTATTTTTAGATGGAACATATTGTATATCCTTCTCATGGATAAAATATTATTTTAGCGGCAACAAAGGGAGGAGAAGGAGAGAGAAGACGAACAGAAGGCGCTGGAGATGCTTTTTGCCCAAAAAGAAGCAGACAGAGAATTCAGGGAAAAACAGCAGCTAAAGGCACAAAAAATGAAAGATGATTGTAAAGCTCTGCAAGACATACACATCCAGCAAATGGTAAGAAAGTTTCAGGGTTCTGAGTCTGAAATACATTCAACATGAAACTGGTCATCTCCTTTTCGTCAGAAATGATGACTTACTAAACATGTTACATGACAAGCCAATACCTACCATTTCTAATTTTCGAGTTTCCTAACATATTCAAACATTCCCTTAGGCTGAAAGACATGCCAAGGAAAAGCTTCTGCAGAAAGAGCAGATGGAGTTTGACATAAAAAACATGGAGCTTCTTGCTATGCAAGAGAGGCAGTTCCAAACCTATGCCCAGGGCATGATCAGTGCAGCTGCTGAGACAAAGAGAAAGGCTTACCCACTCCAGAAGGCTGCCAGGCAGGATGGCAGAGGAAGGCTGGGCCCCATCTTAGGAGAACCGCGCTTTTTAGTCCATGATGAGACTGGCGTTCAGCTGCCCGCCTTTGTCTCTGACACGACACGAGTCATCAAGGGGCTTCATGCAACAGAAGACATTCAACAGTCAAAGAAGCGACTAGGGTTTGCCTGGTAAACTTAAGGGCTGTCATGGTACCAATCAGATTGATGTTTTGTTTCACAAATTACATTAAACCTATATTATCTACAGTTTATTGTCTGGATTTTATAGTACAATAAAATCAACATAAGTAAGCACAAAGCAAGACATGAATTATTAAAAAAAATGAATGCTCAAATATATTAGGTGTTCCATACTCTTTTAAATTCCCTATAT